ACCATCGGCCTTGTTAGGGCGATAGTTGTTTTCATTTCAAATTTATAATCATTATTTTTTTAGATAGTTCAAACATCCAAATGGCTGAAAATTCAAAAGTTATGGATAAAAATCTCTCTCTCAGCCCCATCTCCTCTGCTGCCTGGGTCATCTCTCTCCAGTTTGAACCCAAGCCCTTTGACTTTGGGATGAGTGTCCTCTCTGCAATGTGATGCAGGACTCAGGGATGCTGCCTAAGGGAAGTTTCACCTGCTAAGGGCATTTTACCTCCCCTTAGCAAGTGTGCATGTGTATCCTTAGGGACAAATTGTCTTCTTTCTTCTGAATTCACATGTTTATCTTTCCATCCTAAATTTTGTTGGTTTTTTTTAAAGATTTTATTTATTTATTCATGAGAGACACACAGAGAGACAGAAAGAGGCAGAGACACAGGCAGAGGGAGAAGCAGGCTCCATGCAAGGAGCCCGATGTGGGACTTGATCCCTGGTCTCCAGGGTCATGCCCTGGGCAGAAGGCGGCGCCAAACCGCAGCGCCAACCAGGCTGCCCTCCATCCTTAACTCTTTGGATGCAGGGAGTATGCCTATGACTTCTGGAAGGTGGCTGGGTAGGGCCTGGTACATAGAAAACTGGGATACACACCATGCTCTGTGACCTTGTACAACTTACTTAGGCTCTCTGAGCCTACAGTTGTTCACCACCGTGACCACGCCTTCACCAACCTCACAGGGTTCTTGTGAGGACTCAATAAGATGACTCCGGGCCCATGTTCAACCCTGTGCCAGGTTCCAGGTATGGGCTCCCTAGGCACCCTTTCAAACTTAATTCTGACAGAGGATTAGGGAGTTCAGGTACCTAATTAAGAACACATTGGCATAGTAGGTCGCCCAAATCCAAACGCTTGAGCAAATCATTCTTCCTGGGCTGGGACCCGCCCTTTCCCAAAGCAGCCTTCCAAAGGTGGGGCTCATTCCCATCTGCTTTTCAGGAGAGGCCTGGCTTTTCTGGATAGTCAGTCATTTTGAGACCAACAGAAGGGCCAACAGGCAAGGGCTCCTCTGGGCCTATTTTGTCCTCAGCCTTGAGTATGAGCTGATCCACAGGGAGATGATACACACACATGGCTTTTCTCAGGGCTGACAATAATGACTCACTGGAGGGTCACTGATGCCCTTGAGCTGCCTGAGGCAAGTGACTCATTGGATCTGCCTCTGTGCCTGGCTCCCCAGCTGCCTGACCTCTGCCTCTCTCAGGGGCATGTCCTCCACCCCTGAGACTCTCAGTCCTGGGGCTTCTGCTCCTACATCACTCTGTGTTCAGAGGGACCCAAGAAATCATGTATTCTAACCCTCCTCATCTCACAGATAAAAAAAGCAGCCCAGTGGTAGTTATAGGCTTGCTTATACCTCCAGCTTGTAGCCGACCCAGGGTTTGAACCCGGATCCAGGGTGCCTTCTGCGATAACCTCCCTGGCTGCCACAAAGCCCTGCATCTTGGCCTGTTCCTTCCCCACAGGGCACTCCCTGTCTCCCTCCCGGCTCCAGGTCCTAACACTCAGTAGATGCCATGGCTTTGTGGTAGAACCGCTACTTATCCCTTTAAAATCTTGTTTCCGTGGAAGGACAGAATGATCTCTTGGAGCTTGTGGTCTCCACTGACCATAATGTCAATTAACAATGTAAAAATCTGTTTACTTTTCTGTTAAAAGAGGCATTCCTTTCCTATCCAACTCAAGTTGTGTAAAGAAACAAAAATAGAGGCCAAGAAGGATGAAGGGACACATAATTGTCTGGCAGAACAATGGAGCAATCCATGACTTCCAGGGATGGAATCCACACAAGCCTTGGGAGCTGGGACCTGGCAGGACAAAGAGGGTGACAAGGAAATCTGAGTAGAAACAAGAGGGAAGGACAAGGAAGAGAGAGGAAATGATTGTGCTGGGGCAGGCCCAGGAGGCGGGCAAACCGGGAAACCTGTGCAGTGGGTCTGGGGTATTCTCCAGGCTCCGTGCACCTTCCCAACCCAATCAGCAAGCCCATGCCCTCTTGGTGTCCAGAAGCCCCATGGTGTTCCAGAACGGGACCCTGGACCTACTCCCATCAGCCCACACACCCACCCCTGCTCCAGCCTGGTAAACCCCAACTCTCCTTCTGGTGTTCAGGTGTCACTGGCTGGCCTGATGTTGGTGGGCTGCCTTTCCCACAGGATATGCATTTTGAACAGGGACTCTGGAGTCTCTGGTTGGGCCTGCTGCTGCCCTCAAGTGCAAAGGGAGGGGTGGAGTGGGGTGGGGCGCAGTAAGAAGCTCCTGAGAGACAGGGTTCCTGAAAGACAGCCCAGACTGAAGGAAAACAGGAGAACAGCTCGGAAGGGCTCTTTCCTTTAGGGAGAAACAGAGATGGAATGAGTTCCTTCTCTCCACAGCCTCCTCCCTCTCCAGGGATGGGATCTGCCTCCTCCGTCGTAGGTGTGGAAACCGAGGCCCAAAGTGCCAGGCCCAGAGGCAGAGCTGGGCCCAAAGCCTGGGAGTCCCACCCACTCCCCCCCCCCCACCACCCAGGTCGTCCTCTGAGGAGCCAGATGACAGGGGCCAGGAGCAGGGGCGAGGCCTGCGGGTTGGAGGGGAGTGGAGGGGGCGAAGCTCTGACACAGAGGCCTCGCAGGCTGCAGCAGGGGCCGGCGGCCCAGACCAGAGGAGGGAGCAGGCGGCAGCCAGCGACGCCCCCAGTCCCGCGAAACACAAATGACTCAGGCTGGGTGGCTCCGCCGGCGGGCCCAGCCCACATTCCCGCGCCTTTGTTCCCGGCTTAAAGGGCCAGCGCCGAGCCCGGAGCCCGCCCCGCCCCACCCTCGTGCGGACCCTCGCCGGTGGCCGCCCGCGGGGCTGGGGCTTCATCCCGCTGAACCCTCGGGCGCGAGGGAGGGCCGGCAGGTTTTTACGCCCGCCCGTGCCTCTGCCTCTGCATCGAAGCGGCCAAGGAGGATCAAGAAAAGCCTTGTCCCGCTTTTTTAAAGATGCTACCACGAGGGGACCCTTCCAGGGCCCCTTCTTCCAGAGTCTCAAAGCATCTCCCCTTCGACGCCATCCCCGGGCTGCCGGGGTGGGAGGCGGGTCCCCTCCCTCGACCGTCGCCCGCCCCCCCCCCGGGCCTGTGAGTAGTGGATTTCTCTGGAGCTCACATTGGACACGCGTGTTTGTTGGGTCTGGGGGCGGCCCACCCGGACTTGTAAGCCGGGCCCCCGCGCTGGGCCCCCGCGGCGTCCGGGCTCGGGCGGCCGGGTCCTGCCCGCGGATTCCTCGGGGAGAAGCAGGGCCAGGCTCCGCTCAGCCGGGGGGGGGGGGGGGGGGGGGGGGGGGTGGGGCTGACTTCTTTGGACCTCGGACGCCACCATGTGGACGCTCCGGGGCCTGGGGCCTGGGGGTCACCCTGCCCACGTCGCCGCCGCCGCCAGCCAGACCCCGAAAGAGCATCCTTACCTGGAAGGTAGCCCGGAACTAGCACAAATCAAAATCAAAGCAGGCCCTAAATCAGAGAGGAAGAGATGGGCCTGCACCCTCTTCTGCCTCACGGTGCCTCCCACACCCTCTGTGAAACTACAGAGGCTTTCTCAGAGCCACAGAAGCTTAGCAGCTCCATTAAAACTCACAGGTAGCAGGGATTCCCGAGTGGCTCAGTGGGTGAGCGTCTGCCTTCTACTCCAGTCATGATCCCGGAGTCCTGGGATCGAGTCCCACATCAGCCTCCCCACATGGAGCCTGTTTCTCCCTCTGCCTATGTCTTTGCCTCTCTCTGTGTGTTTCTTATGAATAAACAAAATCTTAAAAACAAAAAACTTATAGATAGTATTTTTGGTGAAAGCTTCGGAAGATCTTTGTGTCCCCAAATAATACCCTCTGTCTCCCAGACCTTCACACACTTTTTGTGCAATGCTCAAACACAACACTAGAGCTTTGGGTTTAAGGTTTTGTCAGCTGTTCATATGCAAATTTTAAGAGAAGGGGTCTCCTTTGATGCTTTCACTGTAATTTCAAATTTTCTCAGATCTTGAACTAAGAGCTACATTTGAAGGGAGTAAAAAGTGCAAAACATGTAGCCATCAGACATACCAGACAGTGGGATAAGGAGAGGAGGCGTGGGGATGGCCCACAGGACAATTTTGGTACCCTTGTTCCCATGTCGGAAGCACTTTGGATTGTGGGGAGGCCTGGGGGCTGCTCCACAGACTCTCTCACTTACTAAAGTGTCCTTTGTATCCGAGACAAACCTTTACCAAATGGGCTGAAGCTTTGGGGCCTTTGTAGGGCACTGGCCAACCAGGCCAGTTGGCTCCAGACAAGCCCAGAATCCAGAAGGAACGTCCAGAACCCTCTGAGACCTGCCCCATCCATCCATCCATCCATCCGTCCATCCATCCATCCATCCACTTAGTAGATAACCTGTGTTCATCTGCAGGATTAGTTTCCCTGCCTCTAGGCTGTAGCTTCCCCTCCCTGTCCTTTCTCGCTTGCTCTGGTTCTGTTCTTTATCACCCTGACCCCAAATCAGACCAATAATCTTTCAATGGATCTGGAGCCGATGCTTCTGGGCCCTCCTGGGCCAATCCATCCCAAGTCCCCCCTCCTAAATTAATTTCCCTAAAACACACCCTCATCCTCTTGAGGGGCTGCAGATGGCCAGTAGCATCCAGTGAGAATTTCTGGGCCTGACCCAGAGGCCACTCCATAGGTCCTGTGTTGTCATTCATTCTATCTTTCAGAGTTAATGACTTCTTGAGAGTAAGAGCTATGTTTTATTTTTCAAAATCAAATCAAATGTAAATTACAAGTCAATAAATCCTAGCCAAAAAATAATAAAAAGACCAAATCAAATGAAGAGTTTTTCACTAGTGTACATTGCTGTGTGCATCCATATGTACGTACAGACATGCATTCGAGAAAGCTTTAAAACTTCTCTCCCCTTCTGGAGCCTCCTCGGTCAGCCCATGTTTTCTCTGTTACAGCCTGGGAGCCCCAACCTCAGGAGGAGCCAACCCATCACCCTGAACCACTATGCCACCAAGAAGAGCGTGGCCGAGAGCATGCTGGATGTGGCCTTCTTTATGTCCAATGCCATGCGGCTAAAAGCAGTGCTGGAGCAGGGTCCATCCTCCCATTACTACACCACCCTCGTCACCCTCATCAGCATCTCTCTGCTTCTACAGGTCGTCACTGGAATCCTGCTCGTGGTCATTGGTGAGAGCCCAGGCCAGGAGTCGGCCTCGGTGGCCCCTGGTGGGAAGAAAGGCCCCAACTGCCTCCCTGCACCCTCCTGCTCTTGCACATGTCAACTTCTCAACCATACACTGACCTGTGGTAGGTGGTAGCCCTCCACACCTACAAATGCCCAACTCAACTCCTACTTGGTGAGAGCAGACTCCTTGTCCTACCTCCTGGTATCCCACGTAGTGGTCACTCCACAATACCTGCTGAACAACTCTCTTCACTTTCTTGTGGTGTGCATCCCCACTCTTAAGACTCAGTATGAGTTCCCAAATCCTGATTTCTGTAAGGACTGTGTGGATGCCCGGTGCACAGGTCAGTGAGGGAGAAGGTGGCTCAGCACAGTGAATACAACCTCCCTTGCTTCTACCACATGAGAGTCTGAGGTGCCAGACTTTCTCTGACCTCTAGTGGATGCTGTGAGGAAGGTGTCGGGCTGTGGCCCCACACCCCAACCCTTCCCTCCCACTCCCCCACCTTGCCCACAGCACAGCTGAACCTCAATGAGGTAGAAAAGCAATGGCAGCTCAACCAGCTCAACAACACTGCCACCACCCTGGTCTTCATCACTGTCATTGTCAACGTCTTCATCACGGCCTTTGGGGCACACAAGACAGGCTTCCTGGCTGCCAGGACCTCAAGGAATCTGCTCTGAACACAGCCTGGGACCCAGGTGAGGAAGGATGGGAGGTCCGTGGGTCCAAGGGGTCTCCCAAGTGACCCTTCTCTCAGCTCTAGGGGCTTGAAATAAGAGTGAGATCTTTGCCAGCAACAAGAAAAGACAGATCTGAGGCAAGGAGGAGATCTGAGAGAAGAGTTTGGTTGGGGGCCCAGAAAGGCCCCTCCTGCTGCTAACGGGTGATTTTTCCTGAGCAGTCAAGCTGGGGTCTTTCTATAGCTGGGGGTGGGTGGGAGGCAGTGTGGTCAGTGCTTGGCTCTGCCCCTCTGGCAAGAGGAAAGATGCAGCGTGGGATCCCTCAAACTGCGGTCCGTGGACCAGTAGTAACACTGTGTGGAAGGTTGCAGGAAACGTCGAAATCTCCAGCCCCACTTCAGATTCACTGAATCAGTGCATTGAAAAAGGTTGCTAGGGGAATTGTATGCAGAGTAAAGTCTAAGGACCACTGGTCTGGCCTGCCCACCTCACTGTCTCTTCTCTGCTTCCCCTATAGGTCCTAGGTCCTGGGATGGCTTCTGCCTCTTTACTCTCCACACTGCTAGGACGATGGGCACTTTCCACAGCCCTAGGAGAGCTCCCAGAAGGGCGGTGGAGATGCCCTTGCTCCCTACCCACAGCTTCTGAATTAAGATGTGTTATTTTACTGGTCTAAGTGAATCCCATCTTGGTCTGGAGTCCTGAGCTCAGACTGCGGTACTGCCAACCTTTCTCTCTGGTGGCGTCTCCTGCACCTGAGTGTCTGCCTAAAGCCAAGCCTGCCCAGCTTCAGGCCTCTAGTTCATACTCCGCTTCATTCCTCCCCTCTGCCCTATCCATTTTCTCCTTTTTGTAAAATGGAATGATCTCTATAAAGTTTTCTGGAAATCCGCTGAGTCAATCCATGCATCAGGCTGGTCTCTGGATGCCCTCTCCAGCTGTGTTCTGGAAAGGGCTTGACTTCCTTTCCTCTGGGTCCTGCTCTGAGTCAGTGTTCCAGGCCCCACATGCCTTGGGCTAATTACCATCGGCTACATCAATGGCAGATTAGTTAATTCTGGATGGATCCATGTATGCACAATACTTTTTGAGAACCTGTTATAAACCTATCCAAGCTTTCAAATCAGCACCTTCCCTTAGGTGTGTGCTTAAGGCATACAAACTCACTTTGACCTTTGCCTAGGCCAAAGAGAACTGGGAAGGTAAAGTTGTGCTCATAAAGCATCAACCGGGCATCCCTAGCTCCAATAGAAATGATTTTCAGACTGTCTCCTACTTTCAAATGAGCCACACCTTGGCTCCTTTCTATGGCCCACCAACCCCACCCCCACCCCACCCCCCCGCCCTGTGTCTAGCCTTCTCTCCGCCAGTGCGTCTGTCAGCCCTTCTGCACTGGCTCTGACTCCTCAGGCAGTTCCCCACAAGGCAGGCACCAACTAATGGTAAAGGGTGGAGGGCATTGTGGGAGGGTCCTCAGTGTGTCCATCAGAGGCCTGACAACTGAGGGAGATGCAAACCCTTAGGCCCCTCAGCCCACCCCTCCCCTATCTTGATGGGCAATGGGAAAAACACACAAGGCACTTTGTTTTCTAAGAAAATGCTGTATTTAATAATTTCCCTCCCCCATCCCGCTTCCTCCCCCCACCCAACACATTTCCCTACTGAGTAGGGGCCAGACCAGGCCCTCCCCTTAAGGCAGATGGTGTGGAGGTAACTAACGGCAAAGGAAAGGCATTGGCCAGGGTCAGGGTCGGGGTGGGGGGAACATGAGTAAGTCAGGCGAGGCTACTGTCATTAAGAGGATGGAGATGGGAGAGCTGTTTGGATTGGCTCAGGACTACTGGTGCCACGCCCAAGGGTGACAGTGGCCTTGGAAAGAAAGCTGGTGCCCCAGCCAGCCAGCTGTAGCTCTCACCTATCCCCTACAGCCCTTTCCAAAAGGCAGTGAGCCTGAGCAAGGGCCACGCAAAAAGCCACAGCCCAAAGGGCAGGAATAGTATCCAGAAGCCAGAACCCATTAACTGGAAAATCTTTGACCTTCCTGATTTCTTAGAGGGGGACCTTCAACCTCTAGAAGGTTCTCAATGGGCTCCATTCTCCTAAATGCCCAGGGTGTTCTCTTGGTGAATGCAGGGCCCACCAGGCAGACTCTGAAGTTGTGGCTTGGACTTTATTGCAGCAGGGAGCGTGGGCTCACTGACTACCCTCCTGGGCCCCGCCACAACCTGCCGCAACCCCCATTGGTGTTTCCTTACAGCAGGGAGCCCTGCACCCCCCTCCTTACACGGACACTGCAGTTCCAGAGCCAGTGCCCAATGCACCATTCGTCAGTCCAGCAGCAGCGGCAAAGGCAGCAGCAGCAGCAGCAGCAGAAAAATCCCCAGCCCCAAAGGCACCTGGGGATTTTTAGTGCAAGATAAGTGTGTGATCAGCAGGTGTCAGAAGGGGCAGCTGAAGACGACAAAGGCCAAAGCCTCTTCCCTGAAAGGGCTCTGCTTTTCAGTTCCTTCTGGCTCTACTCCCCTCCAACTGGGGAAGAGATCTCAGGGTGATGCCCTTGCCTCCCCAAACCCATGGCCCTGCCCCTTCTCACCCTAGCCCCTGTTCCTCCATCTTGAACACACCCCTTCCTCTTCCACGCAGGCAGGTGGGGCCTGGGGATCTCCCTGCTGGAGGGCAAGTGTGTGGGAGAGCGGGGCCGTGGGGACTCCAGTCTTCCACTTCCCTTTCTTCCCTTCCTGCTGGATGCCCCCCCCCCCTTCCCAAGTCCAGGGCTTTCTTACATCCTCATCCTCTTTCCTCTCTGCTTCACATTCTCCCCAAGGCTTTAGCCTACAGGTGGGCTAGGCCAGGCCAGGGGCTTCTCTCACCTCCTCCACCATGCCTGTCCTGCGCAGCCTGTATGCCAGACCCTGGGGAATGACAAGCCCATGTCCACTAGCTGTCTGTCTCCCAACCCCACTGGGCCACCATAAAAATGCCACCAGTTCTGTGCTTGTGGTCGTCGGTCTGAAGTTAGCACCACCAGGAGGGTAAGGTTAATGCCCTAATTGGGAACCAGCTATTCAGTGGCTCCCTGGGAGAGATGTGCATGTCTCTGGAAGGCACAAGCCTGGGGTAGAGCTGAGAACTGATCCACGCTGTGCCAGCTCCTCTGGTTATAAATCAGCTGCCAGATCAAGGACCGAGGGACACAACACGCTACACCGGAGTGGGTCAGGTATGCAAGTGGGGACATGCCTTAAGTGCAAGACTGCATCTGTCTCTCATAGTCAGTGCTGGGTCTGGACAGTTACAGTTTTGGTTTTCTGTTAGAAAAGTAAAAACCCCAATGAAATATGTCCAAGAGAAGAGTTTCCAGGTCCTGGTCACTACTCCCCGGGTGGATGCTGGAATGCACCTTATGGATAGGTTGGTAGCACTCAAACAGGTCTTTCTTTCCCAGAAGACTCTGGCACCTTTCCCAGAAGCCTGTCCACCTCTGTCAACTTAGTGAACAGCCCCTCCCGGTCCCTCTCCCAAGGTCCTCCCTCTGGAGGCCTCGAGGGTAGAGACAGGGGCCTTGGCAGCTGCCTGTGTGAGGTAACAGCTCTGGGAGAAGTGACAGTGTTAGCTCTGAGGCCTCTCGGGGCCCAGCCATGGCTCCTGCTCCCCTTCCCTCTCCTCCTCAATGGTGAGCAGGGGTGCTGGGGAGCGAGCATGAGTCAAGGAGTGGGAAGCAGTTGGTTGGTCGGTCAAGTGGGCCACCCCTCAGGGTCATGGCATCTTCATCTGGCGACGGTTCCACATGCCTCGCTTGGAATGGAAGTGATGGAAGAAATTCCTGAGGGAGAGTCGCTCCACTTCCAGGCCTGCTTGGAGGATCCTGAATGGGGGAGGGGCAGGGTGAGCAACAGAAGCAGGAGAGGCAACTGGGGAGAGGCCCAGGCCCCTGAGGACCTAGCCCTCCTGTGTCTGCATCACACCTGGTCCCACCGAGTCCCTGTCTGCCTCTGTTTACTCTCCCTGGAGCATGGGCAGTGGGGTGTGGTGCACAGGGCCAAGGCTTTGGAGCCAGACAGCCTGGATTTGAAACCCAGCCCCACCCCACACCATGTAAAGCGTGTCACTCTTCAGAGTCAAGGTGTGTCAATCTTCTTCTTCTTTTTTTAAAGATCTTATTCATTCATGAGAGACACAGAGAGAGAGGCAGAGACACAGGCAGAGGGAGAAGCAGGCTCCCCAAGGGGAACCCAATGTGGGACTCGATCCCAGGACCCTGGGATCATGCCCTGAGCCAAAGGCAGACCCTCAACCACTGAGCCAACCAGGTGCCCCATCAGTGTGCCAATCTTGAGAGAGAGGAGAATGATACACAGTTGACCCCTGAACAACACAAGCTGGAATTGTGTGGGCCCAGTGACATGTGGGCTTTTTTCCAATAAATAAAGTACAGTGCCCTAGATGTGTTATCTCCTCCTTAATGATTTTCTTATTAACACTTTCTCTTCTCCAGCTTACTTTATTGTAGTACACAGAACATACAAAATGTGTGTTAATCAACTGATTGTTATTGGGAAGGCTTCCAGTCAGCAGTAGGCTATGGGTAGTTAGGTTTTGGGGAAGTCAAAAATATTGTGTGGATCTTCCACTGTGTGGAAGTCAGTGCCCCTAATCTCCATGTGGTTCAAGGGTCAATGTATAGATATTGGAGGCTGGTGGTAAAGACTAGAGGTGATGGGAAGAAGTGCTCAGTACAGCTGCAGGCACACACCCTATGCCAACCACCAGGAGCTCGGCCCACAGGGGACACATCACCACCCGTGATGGAGATGGAGGGGGCAGACCTGACCCCAGCCCTCCCCTGTCGCTATATGTGTAGGCTGTGGGGAGGAATCTCTCTCCCAGGAAGCCTATCCTTCCATCAAGGTGGTACCAGAAGTCTGCATCTACCCAACCTGGCAGGAAGACCGAGGGTGGAGGTAAGTAACCACTAGATGGTTACTCTGGGATCCGCTCTGACCTGGCTTTGTGAGAACTGGGTTAGCTAATCCGAGCTCCCTCAAACTCCCTCCTTTGCACCTTCAATTCTCTTAGTACGCCCCTTGTCGTTATATACAGTATACCTCCCTTATTTTTTTCTCCCTCAAGGGGAAAAAAAACAAAACAAAACATAAGCAGAGCTGGTTTTAAGCCTCTGATGCCCACTAGCTGTGGTATTTGGGGCAGTTGGGAACTTCTCTTCAAGGCTCATTTGGACAGCGGAGACAATCACACCTCCCTCACAGAGGTGTGGAGAGGAGCAAACAGGGGGCAGATACAAATCATCTGCCAAGTACGGGTGCCCCTGAGGGGTAGCTGTCTCCAGGAAGAAGTGTCCCCACACCCCCAGGGCTCCTCCAGTGCTCCTGACCCACCTGTCACATCCTCTAGACACTGGCTGGTCCTTTCTTTCTTTGACGTCTCTCCCCCTTTCCTCCATCCCCTCCCCTTTAGCCCAAATCTCAAGGTATCATCCTCTTTCCCGCTCCTTCTGTGGCAACAAATTTCTTTCTTCTTCAAACTTTTATTTATTAAAAAAGTCTACCCCCTAAATGGGGCTCGAAATCACAGCCCTGAGATCAAAAGCAGTATGCTCTTCTGATTGAGCCAGCAAAGCGCCTCTTGTGGCAGAAAAAAAAAATTTTTTTTTTAAGTAAATTTCTTTAAAGATGAATCTCATACTAACACAGCTTCCACTCCCCTGCCATCAGCATGCCCCACAACCCCTCCAACCAGGGTCCCGGCCTGCTTACTCCTGTCTCAATGTCCTCTTCTGTCAGCTTGCCAAGTCTGTAGCTGATCCTGTGTCCTCCTTTCTCCCTCTTGCCATTGACTATTTCTTGCTCCCTGAAACTCCCTCCTCCCAGGGCTTCCAAGGCCCCAGGACCTCCTGGATATCCTACTGCCCTTTAATGATCCACACTGTCTCTTTCGCTGGCCCCAAAGCCTTTCCTAACCCTTCATCTGACTTCTTGTCCATTCCTCCAGCCTCAGCTCCCCTGGCAGGTGGCTGCGGGGGAGGAAGGCTCCAATCCAGGAAAATGCACCTGTGTTCTTTGATGTCGCAGGGCCTGTGCTGGGACCATTAGCATTTACACTCATACAACTCAACAGCTTTTGCTTTACCCCAGTCTTCCCATGGACTTTAATCTCCATGCTAATCCTGGGACATAGGCAGAGGCAGTATCATTCCCCTTCTAACAGACACAGAAACAGAGTCTTGGCCAGGCAAGTAACATGACCCAAGTAAGTGGTCAGGCTTCCTCTGAGTC